GGCATGTGGTGCAACCATTACATGTCCTTGATGGTGACATGGAGATAGGAGCTAGGGATGCACCTCCTGTCTTTGTCAGGAGCTTTCAGCACAAGTAATGGGGAAATCCCAAATGCTGGGCTCTGGTTCCTGAGGCTGCCAGAAGTGGATGGTAATGGTCCTCAGCAATGAAAAATGGGGAAGAAACTACAAAGTCAGAGAAAGGGTACAAAAAAACTAGAAGTTGCTGACAAAAATTTTTCAGGAAATTCATGAAGTGACCTGCTGTAACTCTGGAGTACCTGACAGCATGTTTGCCTTCACTGGAGCCTTCTCAAGAAACAGACAGGAACTCTTCTATCTCCACTTTTGTCACTCTGGGGTAAAACTTCGACTTTATATAGGTTCAGATGATGATAACCCAACCACATTACACAGTTCATTGGAAAAAAAAAACCAAACACACAACAACCTCTCCATCATACCAAATCTTGTAATAACTAACCTGCCTAGCACCTTGGTACTGGTGCTAGGCCCAGGAGTTGGATGTACTGTCAGAAATTCCCTCAAAGCAGAAAACAGATCCATAAGTGACTCAGGATCAGATGTTGGACAGCAACTCTTGTCTTCAGAGTACGACTCATTTAGAATGTCTGAATAAAAACAAGATTATAATAGGACTAGTAAGGCCCAGTACTAATTTTTAAAGAACAATTTCCTAGCCTAAACGAAAAAGAAATTAAGAAGCTCCTTAAGGTGAGCTTTATGTAATTCTATAATCACTCATACAAATTTACTGTGTACTGACAGCAACCTAACTGTACAACCTTTGGACACCTGCACACTGGTTAGTCATGTTTTCAAAACGTCTGAATGGCAGCCACGCTCACCTCTTCTCGTGTCATTCAATAGCACTATGACTCCCACAGTTCAGCTGTGTGGGGGCAGGAGGTACGGGATAGAAGCATTTCTGAAACCTCAAACTCATTTGCCTGGGTAATCGTGTAAGGTCAACTGCTTTCATACATAAAGCTCATGGAAAATCGCAGGCCTTGCTGAAAAACCTGTCCATATTTGTTGTCATAGTCTTGAGAGATAAGACATGCGGACTTAACCTGGAAACTGTACCTAAGAAACAAGGTGGGCAGAAAGTCATGATGCTGAGTGGGAAAGCCATATCATTCATCAGGGAACCTGGTCCAAAATGTTAAACAAAATGAAAAACAAACAAACAAAAAACAACTTGTATCCCAATGGCAAAAAGAAACTTGGAACTATGAAAATGAAGTATTTTTTTCAGCAGCCCAAATCTGAAAAGCACCACTTACTGCTGCTTTTGTCCTTGAAAATCGTATCTAACTCCCTTCACCTTTTATGTGACCCTTATACAATATTGCCAGTATACCATATAAATAGGCACAACTGCAATTTTCCTTATGGTATCTCTTTCAATTCTTAGTTTATTTATTTACCCAGCAGTCACAACATACAAGGAGCAAGCTTCAGTGATTAAAAACCCATTTTATGAGATTAAAAACCCAAATGGATTATTTATTTCTTCCTATGTCCTACACATTTTAACTCTTGTTTCAGCACTTGCAGACACTGGAGCGGGTCAAACAAGTGGGAGTAACTGTGATTTCACATATTAGCAACAGAGCACCACATAGCCTTAAAATACACTTACTAAATAGCACAGAAATCAGATTCTTTCTCCAGAAAAAGCTGGTATAAGCTGAATTAAGTTGGTGCAGCTCCTCCAAAGAGCAGACAATTGGTTCCTATGAAAAGCAATGCAAAATAAGAGAGCTGGACCAGTAACCACCAAAGCAGAAACACAGCCTAAAGTACACGGCTGGAAGACAAACAGGCAGGGCACGGCATCCTCACATAATGAGACCCACTTGGCAGTGACTTCAGAGACACATGGTACTCAGGACTATGGGCAGTTGGAGAGTGGTTCAGAAAGGATGCACAGTCATCCTCCTGAGCCTTCCCAAACCAGATGCTCATTTCTAAACTCCTTTGCTCAAAACCCTCATCTTTCCAGTGGAACAGAAGCCAGCCTGCAACATTTAAATTCAGATTCAACATGGTGAAAACTAAACAAAGAGCAAAAGCCCAAACACACACCCAACGTGAAACAGTACATGGTGCTTTAAAACCAAGATGAACCACGTATGTTAAGGCGATCACACGTAGCATTCAGAACACCCAAGTTCTCAAAAAAAAAACCAAGAAACCGAACTCCAACATATAAAGTCCTATCAGGAAGAGCTGTCACGCAGCCTCTCCTCCAACAAAGCCCGACGGCGGTGTGCAGCCTCCCAGCCCAGCCCCAGGCAGGTGCTCTCCGCCTTGCACACCAGCGTTAGCGTTCCTCGGTTCACAGTGCCGCTCCCCTGGGGAACCCGCGGAGCAGCTTTTCGGATATTCCCATTTTTCAAAAACAGCCTCAAAGAATTCGGATAAAAATTAGAACAATGAAGGGAAAAAAAAAAAAAAAGAAAAAAAAAAGGAGAAAGAGCGAATAAAAACTCCATACATACACACGCCCCCACCCCCAAGTACTCGGCCGGCCCTCCGCAGCCCCCCTCCACCCCCGCCTCACCGCGCCCGCTGGAGGCCGGCTGGAAGCACCGATGGGCTCCGACACCGCCCCGCGCGGCCGAGGGGCGGGCAGCGCCGCGGGGCCGCCTCCGCCGAAAGGCGCGGTGCAGGTGGGCGGCGGCGTTTACCCGGCAGCCCTGCCGTGAGGGGCGGGCGGCGCCCTGCCCGGTGCTGCGCCTTCTGGCAGCGGTTGTATCGATGGAGAGCAGCGTCGCCGGTGTCTTTCTGAAGCTGAGCCCTGGAACGTAAACGATACTTAAGAGTCGGGTTTTGTGCTTTTTTTTTTTTTTTTTTTTTGCCCATCATTAAAATTTCATTTCCTTGCTGTTTCGTTCATTAACAAAATGAAGTGTTTTTGTCCAGAAGGAAGTTTTGCCTTTCCTGATACCGATCCTTGAAGCAATCTTTTAGCTGTCATCTCTCTCTATTTGAATAAAACGATGTAATTTATATTCTGGTTACACATTAAGGAACACTTTTCCTTCATGTCCCGAGGGACTCTGTGGGAAAAATAGAAGGGAATTTTAATGGCCTGAGCAAGTGACGCAGGCTTAAATCTTTCACGGAGTTATAAGCAGTTTGCACCAGCACAGGGCTGGGACAAACTTGCAGGGCTTTTTTTTTTTTTTTTTTTTTTTTTTTTTTTTTTTTTTTTTTCCCTAGGAGAATGGAAGATCTTAAAATGTTTGGAGATAAACCTTTTAAATAGCAGTGTGCCCAGCACTAAGCTGGGAGGCCGCAGAAAGCTATGAACAGATTTACCTAAGGAAGTACATGTTTAAAGAACAGCTAGGAACAGCAAGGTTAAAAACTTGGCTTAATCTAGCTATATGTGTCCCTGTTCATTGCAGGGGAGCTGGACTAGATGGCCTTTAAAGGTTCCTTCCAGCTCAAATTCTACAAAGGCCTGAAGCTGTCACTTGTGCAGCACTCTGCACTGCTCCTCAGAAAAATTCATCTTGGAGAAAAAAAAAAAGAAAAAAAAGAAAAAAAAAAAAAGGGATGCCACCACTGGGAACCTTTATGCTGAGCTCAGTTAGTCCATGCTCCAATTTGCCTCCAAGGTGAAGCGTAACATGCTGCTGGAAAGGAGACACACAGCAGGAAGCGGTGTTGGCTGCACTGCACTGGCTGGGCTCAGAGTGTCAGAACTCTGCTCCTGGACCTGTCCTGCCTGCAGCAGCCACAGTCTTTGCTTCTCCGCCAGCTCCAGACACTTCCTCCTTGGCTCAGACAGAACAGTGTCAGTGTTGCTTTGTGCTCCAGCCAAGCCTACATTTGCCTCTTTCCACGCACTCTAAATTGTGTTAATATCTTGGGATTTAATAGATGGTTTCCGTGTGCAGCCCGCTGTGAAAGTTGGTGTTTATCTGTCTGCTGACTCACTGGGGAAGAGAGGTGAAACACATGTAGTACAAAAGCTGCAAATCAAGCCCCATGCAATGAGTCCTTCTGAACTGGCTCTCTGCTCTCCTCTCAGGACATTCACTCACGACATGAGTGCAACCCTGAGAATATGCATCTCTCTGGTGCTACAAAGGTTCAGAAAGCTTGTCCAGGTGAGAACTTTTCCAAAATGCCTTGGAAAACTATGCCAGTAGCTAGAGAAGGTCAAGTATGAGTGGGTGCTTAAAGTGTTCCTTGCAAAAGCAGTGCCTCAGGGCAGGCCCGTGTCTGCAGGGACAAGGAAAAGCTCCAGAAGCTCAGACTCAGAGCAGTCTATGTCTGATTCTCTTCATCCAGACTTTCTGCTTGTGGCACTTTCCTGCATGCCAGTAGCAAGCCTCCACTATTACAGGATATTTAAGATATTTCCTGCTTTTAGGGAGCACTGTGAGCTTTCCCAAAGCACAAACCACACCTTCCTCTGTTTCTTCAGGTGATAGCCTCTCCAAGCTGCAGGCCTGACCTGGGACAACCTCACCCTGCTTTTACTCACACAAGACTGCAGAGCAATCACAACAAAAGCTTACACTGAAAGCTACACTAAGCAAATATGAAGATATTTTGTTTATCTCTGCTTAAACTAGTAAATCATCAGCAGAAGAAACTGCACATTCTTGCTCCCATCTGCAGGTGAGTGAAAGGAGCACAAAGAACCTCAACAATTCAAAAGGAGTGCTAAAAATATTTGCTGAAACAAAGGCAAACATATCCGGCTCAGTAAAAGTGGGAAACTCAGTAGGGGGCTGACAAGAGCTTCAGCCTTCAGGTTTTCAAGTCCATTATTAACAATCAAGAACAATTTCTTCATTTATTATAACTTGCTACTACTGCTCAGGTTGTGTATAGTCTGGCACAAAGGTAAAAGCAGTGCCCATGCAGCTGTGATCTCCAGCACAAGAGTGTCCTGTGGATGAACACCAGTCTGGGGGGATACCGTAATTTAGAGCACAGCTCCAGGAACTTACCAGCACTTCTCTTTGAGTGGTTAATTCTGCTTCTCTTTTCTTGCTCAGTGAACTGGTCTCCACTTTTACTCCAATTCCTGTCGTGTCTTCTCTGCATCTCCTCTCCAGTGTCTTCCCAACTAGATCTCTCTCCCCTGGCTTCTTGTCCTGGGGACAGAAAATGAGTCCTCGCAGACTGAGTTTGTCTTTACAAATCAACAAACTGTGAAAAGACCTGACTTCCCGTTTCATTTCCGTTTGAGTTTTCAAAGTCACACAGGCTGTGTCTGCTTCTCTATATCCAAGCCACAAGAAGAATCATCAAGCATAACTCAGCTCTTTATAAATGTCACGTCGTTACCTCACTGCATGCCTTCCAAGTTGTTCCAGTTTTGGAGATGGCAGGGTCATTTTCAGGCTGTGATGTACCTGAGTGATCTGTATCTTAGTAGTCCTCAGAGTCTGTCTCGGAGCTGTCTCTTCTTTTTAAGTCCTGTGTCATGTTTGATTACTAAAGATTTAATATGTAGTTGATGTACTTCTGTAAAAACATAGTGACTGTGAAGGTGTGGCCCACATGAGCATCCTTTCTCTGTTAAAATATGGACAATGGATAAAAGCAAAATTTACACAGATATAATTAATCACTTCATGGATACAGTTTTTTTTTTTTTTTTCTTTTTTTTTTTTAACAAGAGTCCTCTGAGAGTCTTTCCTATTTCCTCCTCACTTGAGGTTAATTGAGGCCAGTGGTTTCTCAACAGTCTGACTGCTAATCTTTCTTAACTACACCAGAAGAAAATATATCGTGGTGCCACAACCTACAAGTTCATTGAATCCAGTCTCCCGCTCTGAAGATACCCACAAGTTCCTACTTTAGAGATGGAGGCAACTATTTGCCCTGACTATTGACTGTTTCTCCATATTACAGATGGATTAAAAATATTCCTGGAATGCATATGGTTACTGACTCATATTTTCCCTTTCATGGGAATGGTGATTTCCCTGTCTACATTTTTTTGTTACGTTACTTCTGTTAAATTGATTTTTAAAATTATATTTCTCCATTATCATAATTGGACCGAGAACGTTTGCTTAAAATACTAATGGAAATCTGGAACAATAGAGTAGATAAATAAACCTTATTTATATTATGTTAATCTGTTTATTGGCACATCAGGAGCTGAAGGTGAAAGCTGCTCTCGTCTTCAGCCCAACGTTGGGCCTCTGGACAGCAAGCCTGCAAAATCTTCTTTTTCACCATTTGCTGTGGAGGAAGGAGAGGAAGAACAAAGAATTTCTCTCTTTTGGTGTTGTCCTCTTGTTGCCTTTGGATGCACTCATGCTCATTCTCACATACACAAGGGCATCCAAAGGCCAAAAAGTGAACACCTAAAGGCAGAGTATTTATAGATATATGGAGATGCTTATATGTACATATATAAGTTTGTTTGGTTTTGGCTGTGTTCAGCAGAATAAGATAATTCTGAGAGGGGAAACACTATGGGCTGGCTACAGAAACAGAGCAATCTCTAACGGGGGATTTGGAAAGAAAGCTGGTGGAAGAGAAGAATTGCAGATGCCCTTTTTTTTATTTACTTCATTAGCATTGTTGTTTGTTGTTAGTTTCTTGGTTTTGGTTTTGTGTGTGTGTGTGATGTGTTTCATAAACAAAGCAAAAAAAAGTTATTTATTTTAAATGATGTGGCAAAAGCAAAATACATTTGCTGCATTAAATTCACTTTTATCTCCTTAAATTCCTCTGTTGTACCTCCTAATTTGTGTGTCAGGTTGACTTGGACCTGACAGAAAGAATTGTGGATGGGTAGCAGTGCTACTCATCCTCTTTTCTTTAGTTTCCACATTCTTTATTCCACATTCTATATTTCCCAACCATCTGGATAACTATTTATCAACTCTTTATGCTTTATCCACTCCGAGATATGTAGGGTCATGGGGAAAAGGGGAAGACAAGGGTAAAGTGGAAGGTGGCATCCATGCTGGAGGCAGCGAAGGCCTGGATGATACAGCCCACAAACTGAGAGTAGCTGTGCTTTGCTCAGCAGCCAGTGTTTGCATGCCTGCATGTTTGTACTCTTTATCACGCTCACAAGCTGACGAGGAAATTTCCTTTGTCCACCCCCGCACTTCTGTGGCTGGTGTTATCAGCGTGCCCCTCCTACCCGTGACATTCCCTTGTGGTTCTGTGAGACACAAAATGAGGCCAGCATCTGAGTTTGCCACAGCTCGGTGTGCTCCTTCCTCTTCTTGCAAACAATAGGAGAGCTCTGCGTATCCACAGGCCGGAGAGGATGGGGGCAGGAGAGGGGCTGTCCTGTATGGGTACACAAGATGTGACTTGGTGGACAGAAGATTTTCCTTTTCCTTCTGAAGACTGGCAGTGGGACTAGCATCAACACAAGCTGCATTCTGGACAGATCAGTGTTCTGGGAGTATCAAGCAGGCTGTTGGTGCAGAGCTGCCTCCTGCTGCCTGGGCCTGGGTGAAAAGGAAATCCACGTCTATGGGAAAAGGAATCCCCATTACAAGCTCTCTGACAGGCCTTGCTTTGGGACAGCTGTTTGTAAACAAGGTGCTTCCTATTGTAATGAGAACCCATAGGATGGCCTCTTGCTCTTTGGAAGTCAACCTGCAAAGACCCAGAATTCTGTTTCTCCATTGGGCTGCAACACATGCCTATCTGCCAGAAGATACAAGGCACAGCTGTTTGGGGCTGTATTTTTTTTTTTTTTCTCCTAGTGTCAGTGGTTGCTTTTGCAAATAAAGATTTATGTTTCACTGTGGTAGGTGCTTAGTAGCAAATCAAAGTAAGTATTTTGAGACCTGGCTGTTGTGATTTGCTAGGAGTACAGAACCAAATCTCAGAGCACCTGGATTTCCTTTCTGAAGTAGAAAGAGCAAGCCACTTTCTGGAGCCACTTTCTCTGCTAGAAACTGCCATCAATAATGATTTGTTTTGTACTAAAATGGGGAAAAAAAAAAAAAAAAAGGAAAAGAAAAAAAAGGATCATTAAGGGAAATAAAAGAGTCCATTTTCTTTTCAGAGGAAGGAGTCACTCCAACCCAAAACATAAAATGCCATCAGTGAAAAAGAATAAACTTCTTTCAGAGGGAGAGCTAGCAACCAACAGGAAAATGAAACAGTTGTAAAAACCTAGCTCACAGAGAGAAGGCAGCAGCCTGTACACAAAGGAGCAACAGTGCTGATGGAAAAGTCAGGGAGAGAGAAGGGCCTGAGCATGTACACGCTTCCTTTCAGCAAGCGGCTTCTTGACCGGAGTGACTTTTACTAGAAACAGTAACCAAAGATGTTCCTTTCTGAAAGTCTCTTTGTGCAGCGGAGAGTTTGCTTATTTTGAGTGGCAAAGATAAACATCCTGGCTCTATTTGCCATTTTCTTTCCCCATCTCCTAATGGAGTCGCCATCCATGGTGGGACATGGAGCAGTTTAGCGGATGATGTTCTGCTTGCCAACATCATACACATCTTCAGCAAATCCTTTTACTGCCTGTTAAAAACAGGGGAAAGGAAATAAAAAGCTTTCTCCAACTTTAAAGTGAAGCTTGAAGATTAACACTGAGAAATACTGAAAATACCATGGTGACGGTGGGCCTTCATCTGAGCATACGGCACCCGCTGTGCTGACGAGCAGAGCTCTCATCTCCTTTTGCAGTCAGGGGAAATAAAAACAGAATCCTCCTACTTGCAAGGGATGTGTGGCATCTTTCTCACAAATCACTAAAAGGATTTAATGGTTTCTTTTTCCATAATTTTTCATGGATCTCACCCTTTTTGACATTCTGGTATTTGGACTGCAAGTACCAGGATTTCTACTTTTCTGGAAAGTAAACACTATCAATTTTATTTAAAAAATAGCCAGTGTTGAGAATGCAATATGAAATTTCCTGGCTGTGTCTGTGTGGCTTCTTCTCAAGTACATACACCTGGACACATTTCCCTGGACACATCTTCCACTGCAGAATTCTATCTCAAAGGAATTTGGCTCTGGAGATGTATATATTTCTGGCGATCGTGTGCTTCAGCATGTCAGACACACAGAGAGAACACAGAGCAGCTTGTGCAGCACAGGCACCAAAGAATTGATCCATCCTCAGCACAGTGTGCTGCAATCACATCTAGAAGTTACAGAGTCAGGGAGCTGCTGCTTCCTTTTAGCTGCTTGCAGCCATTTTACAGAAGGAAGGTGTAGATTTTGAGTAGCAATAGAAGAACAAAGCAGAAGTCTTCTTCCTAAGCTCTGGTAAAGAACTGTGTCTTGGAGTCTTCCTTCATTTCCTCAAAATCATTTTCAGATTAATTCATATCCTCTGAGCAATCTGGACTTATGTTACATTGAATAATGCGGCTTTCTGTGGCACTTCAATTTGATGGTTTTCAGATACTAAAAATGGTATCTATATATGTTAATAAACTTGCTCTAGCAATGAGAGCATAAATGCACGACAAATTTTCTGGGAGGAGAAATGAAAGGGAGACTGTCTAAACTTCTATTTTTCTGAAGAAAGGAATCTGCTGTACCAGAGAGACAGCAGGAAACCAATGAGGAACAGAATGTACAGCCATTGCTGTTAGCAATAATGTGCAGCTCTGAGATGTTAAAAGCCTACTTCCTAGGCTCTTTTCTGCTAACAAGTGTCTTATTCTTTCTAAAATACCTCACCTTCAGAACATCAGGATATATTGCCTCTTTCTTCATCTATCTATTGTAAACTATTCTGGAGTGTCCTGGTGTCCTGGAACATTCCTCTACAGGTCATACAGGCATAGTGTTGCTGGATTCATTCTACCTCCTCTCCTCTCCTCTCCTCTCCTCTCCTCTCCTCTCCTCTCCTCTCCTCTCCTCTCCTCTCCTCTCCTCTCCTCTCCTTTCCCTCATTTTCTTTTTTTTCTTCTTTTTTTTTCCTTCTCCTTCTCTCTCTTCTAAATTAGATCTGACAGAACTGCCAAATGCATAACACCAGATTCTGCTAGTGAGGGAATTCTGCTGTCAATTATGTATTACAAGTGAAAAAATAAGTGTGAAGCATTCTTTGTGCTCTGCTACATTTGTTTTTTCCAAGTGAACATAGGAGCAGTCCCTACTCCACTGACTTTCATGTGTTATTCTGACACAATGTACTGTTATGACTCAAACAGCGTGACTAAAACAGCACCGTGGTAAGGTAAATATAGTATATTTATACATTCTTTCATAGGATATATTTCTAGGAGATAGACTTCAGAAAGAGCTCCACCCAGTAATAAAATACTTTATGCTCAACAAGCAAATACGGAGAACAGCTACAGAGCCCAATATGGAGCTCAGCCACAAATGAGCCACTGCTTTTAAGTGGCAACATCAGCTGCAAATGAGCAACTCAACAGAAGCTGAGACATTTGTACAGTCGAACTAGAAGGAGGCCTAGGATGCCAAAGTTAAGGCTGCAGATGGCAGTAGATTTGGCAAACTGAACAGCCTGCATCTGTACATACACCTGTAGCTTTTGAAAGCTTTTTTTCCCCTTGTTTGTCTTGTTTTTGAATTAACTGAAACATTTCAAAAAAGCTGCTTAGGGCTAAAGGCTGAGAACAGCAAATGGACTCCAGCTATTTGCTGTACTTTGTATTTTCCTTCCCAGAGACTAGAACAGGAATTGGGTCTGGTCAGTCCCAGACATGTGCACAGACTGGGAGAACTCATTGAGTGCAGCTCTGCAGAGATGGATTTGGGTGTTCTTGAGGATGAAAAACTGGACATGAGTCAGCAGTGCATGCTTGCTGCCTGAGGGGCCAACAGTATCCTGGGCTGCATTGAAAGATGGTGGCCAGCAGGGAGAGGGAGGTGATTGTCCCTCTCTCCTCTGCCCTTACAAATCCCATCTGGAGTACTGCATCCAGGCTTGGGGCTCTCTATACAAAAAAGGAAACAGAGCTATTGTGGTGTGTCCAGAGGAGGCCACAAAGATGATCACAAGGCTGCAGCACCTCTTCTATGAAGACAGGCTGAGGGATTTGGACTTGTTCAACTTGGAGAAGAAAATGCTCATTGCAGCATTCCAGTACTTGAAGGGAGCTGATAAGGAGGAGGGAGACTGATTTTTTACATAGTCTAATTGTGATAGAACAGAAGGGAATGGCTTTAAACAGGAATTACTATTTGCACCCCTTCTTTTGTTTTAAAACAAGTTTGTACATCCCCATATCCAGAACAGCTGGGAAAGACCACTTCAAGTGTTCAGTAGTTAACAAAGACCGTATTTTCCTTCTCTGCTACAGAGGGGTGTAGGAAGTTGATAAGTACACACAGAGGAGAGAACCTGAAGAAATGTATGTGGACATTTTGGATGACCAGCTCCAACAGAGCCTGCCAGAACATTACAAAGAGAGCTCTGCTATTGCATCCTCTTGCAGAACGTTTAGAACAGCAATTCCTACCAAAGACAATGCGTTTCAGTGCCACAATTATCCAGAATAAAATCACATGTTTTTCAATTCCAGTGGCTGGAGAAACAAGGGATCAAGGGTGTCCAACCTTTTGGCTTGCCTGTGCCGCACAGAGTGAAGAGGAATTATCTTGGGCTGCATATAAAACATATAATACTATGTACATAACGAAATTTTATACATATTCATTTATTAACAAATAAAAAAAGAGCAACAAAAAAAGAAAAAAAAACATCTAGTTGGATATTTGTGAATATGTGAATTGTCACCTCTGCAATCCATACTTGAGTGATGCATAATCAACTCATGGAAAATATTGCTAAAAATGACATAATAATGTTAAAAGTTTACAATCTTATATAGCCACATCACTGACTGCCCAGAGCCACATGCGGCCCATGGGCCATGGATTGAACAGGCCTGGTTTAGCGGCAGGCTTGGAGCGCTAGGTTAACATTTGGACTTGATGTACTTTGAGGCCTTTCCAACCCCAAAGCGGTGACCAAACAACAGCCTATGACATCACTGGGTGATGGATTGTGACTGGATGGCCCTCACTGCTTATACCACGGTTCTGGCAGAGCCTGGCTCAGTCTGGCTTGTTCCTGGATCCTGCTGAGTGACTTTGCGAGGCTTGGAGGTCGAGCAAGGCTTTAGCTGTGCTGTGCTGGGCCGTGCCTGCGGCTGCTTGCAGCAGCTCCCAGAGTTCATCCCCACAGCACCTCTTATGTTTCCCTGGCCCTGCCCTGCACAGGCAGCTGGGGCCCAGGGAGACACACCCGGGGCAGCGGAGGTGAGTGGTGCAGCGACACATCCCTTGGGGGGCCATGTGGAGCACAGTGCTGTGTGGGTGGGGAGCAGGAGACGGCCCCCTTTGCAGGGCAGAAGAGCTTCCTACTGAGGGACTGGGGCATGAGTTTGGCACACTCAGAGACAGTGAGTGACTGTGACCTCCCTTCCTCTTGCAGTGCACAACACCACCGCTGCAGCACTGGTGAAGGAGAGCCACTGTCATCCTCCACTCTCCTCACCCATAGCAGCAAGACGACCATGGCCACAACAGAGGCATGGACGTGTCCCATCTGCCGCGATGCACGACGAGACATCGCGTCTGTGATCCCATGCAGCCATCAGTTTTGTGTGGGCTGCATCCAGCGGTGGGCGAGGCTGAGAGACAGCTGCCCGCTCTGCAGGACGGCCATGAGGACCATGAAGGTCTCTGTGTGGGGAGGTGAGCATTATGTAGAGTGCGTCATCTCCCCGCCCGCAGTGCCGGTACCTGCTGACTTCCAGCCCAGCACCGCCACCCGCCCCAACGGCACTGTGGCACGTGCTCCATCCCCTCTGCCACAGCCATCCCAGCAGACGGCCTCAGAGTCAGAGGTGAGGGCGAGGCTGGGCGGCCTCCTGCCACAGGAGTGGGCGGCACTGTTCAGGGAGCGACGCAGCATCCTCAACCCCGTGCTGCCCTCCCTGCACCAGAAGCTCTCTGCCATCCATGGGATCCACTGGTGGCAGGTCCTGTCAGCAGAGAGCCTCTTCCTGTGCTGCCTGTGTTGGCTGGGGCCAGACAGGGCCGTCATGCTCCAGTGCACAGAGCCCAGCTTGGGACCCATGGCTGCACCGCTCACTGACTGGCTCGTGCAGACCATCATCAGTCGCTGTGGCCGGGAAGCCCGGAGGCTGCACGGCCTCGAGGATGAGGAGGACAGCCACGCAGCCACCTCCCCACAGAGGACCCTCACACCCAGCACCACGCCCTCCGGCAGCTCTGCGGGTCCGGATGTAGAGGAGCTCCCTGGCACGTCCAGTGAGCTCCTTCATGGGAGCACAGACGAGCTCCCCGCTGCACCCAGCTCTGGGGAGCAAGAGCAGCCCCAGGAAGAGTCAGGGCAGGAGGCAGCAGGGCCCAGTGCCCAGAGCGGCAGCCACAGCTGCTTCGCTCCTGGCCAGAGCAGGAAGCGCTGCTCTGTGAGGCCCCGGCGCCCCAAGAAGAGGAGGGCCGGCAGTGCCCAGGGTGCTCCACAGCCCTGCAAAAGGCTGCGCCCCTGGCGCCGCTAGCAGGGCTTTGGGAACTCTAGTTCTTCAACTTGGGTCAGCTATTGTTTTTTTTTCCCTTGGTTGTGTTAATTTCTCACTCATCAGTCCGTTTCAGATGAGAACTGATCCACTGACCCCCTCAGCAGCAAGATTCTAATGCTCTCTGACAATATCATGCTATACATTACATGCAAAGAATATCCCATTATATTTTCTAGCATCTACCAATCAGGTTTGCACAGGTACCGAAATCTTAGCAGGAAGCCAAATGCCTTTGCATTTGTTTTGTTCTGGAGGATGTTATGTCCTGTCTTGCCGTGAACATGCCTATGGATCTGGAGAAAGAAACAGCCATTCAACCACTGTCCTATTCATTAACTCATCAATTATCCCACTTGAGAAAGACGACAGCTTTACAGTAAGTGACATCTATAGTCACATGAAAGAAAACCTGGCTCTCTAACCCTACCCCTCATGAACACAGGCGGATATGTCACAGGCCTCTGTCCATTAGTAAGGCAATGCTGGCTACTTCCCTGACTGGAAATAATGTCTGGACAGCTTTTCTGCTTACTGTTTTTGCAGAATGGCTTTTGAGATAAACTGTGCTCCTCACATGTGCACAACCTGCACTCCCTATTCCTGTTTGAAAAGTACTGACAAATGGACTGACTTCAAAGCCTGGCGACTTCTTTTCTTCCTAAACTACTGACAATCAGTGATTGACAAGTTATTATTAAATAAAAAAAAAATTAGACATCCTTCTCTTGAACCTTTCTACTTTTCCCCTTGCAGGTATTGCATTGAGTGGTGTTCCCTTTGCTTTACAATGTTCTTGCACCAGAAAACACACCAGCTGCTCTCACCAAAGTTTTTGGTTTCCACTCTTTTCTATCATCCTTCATTGCTGTTTTGTTTCATGCAGGACCATCAATGAGAACTGTGCCCAAGTGGCATTTTCCATCCCAAACTAAACAGTTCAGCAATATATAAAGACACACATTGTCTCTTCAGAGCAAAATCCAATTTGAAGCACGGACTTTCTTCAGCTGGAAGCTGAAGCAAGCTTTAGTGCAACCCCCCACTTCGTTAAAAGATGTTAGCTTTCCTAAGTAATGGATTACAAATTGATGTCAGAAACAGTGCAAACTCATTAAGAAATGAGTAGAAGTTCCAAAATCTTGGAACCTCTCTCTGCTACTAGAAACACCTACAAGTGCATTATTTCTCTTTATACCATCTGGGTAACCTCTCCCGTTTAGTGTATTTTCAGTCAAGAAAGAAGGCAATTAGAGAACTGAAGATACAAACTCTTGAATAGAATGTGTTGTCATCTATTTTCCCAATGTGGAAAAAGCTGCCAGTGGCTCACCTGCTGCAGTACATCTTTCCTGAATGTTCTCTGTCTCAACATAAAATGTCTCTCTTAATTTTCTGTCTTGAAAGTAAATTGTGAGGCATAAAGGAACAGTTTCATCACTGACAGATTGCATCAGAAAAAATAATGTAAGAAAGTCATGTACATAATGCCGTGACAAGAAAAAAAAACAATCTGCATTGTTACTTGTCTTTCAGTGTCATTTCAAATTGAAAACTTGTTCAGTAACAGAAAAGTGCTAAATACACAAAATGAAAAACACTTTGGCTTCATCCCTTATAGGATGTGAACAGAGAATTCAAGTTTTTGTGGTTGAAAGCAATCTTTCCTCTGAGGCATTCTAGATTCATTATGAAGATGTGGGAAATCTGCTCCCCAGTTCAATATTAAATCAAAATATAATCCTTCAGTCTTTAACTGGCAACATCTGGAAGAAAACTCTGGTGATCAAAATTTACTAGCTAATAAAGACTGTAATGAATTCCCACAGTTAGAGAGTTACGCGTGTTTTATATAAAAACAATCAGGACACTACAAAGCACTCAGCACTTCGAGCAAAGACAAATATTATTTTGTAAAGCATGAAATAAAGATATATCATTGCAAATTAAAATGACTTTTATGACAGTAAAACAATGGTTCTTTTTTCTTAAATACAGAGCCGAATTAAAATATGACCAAACCTAACTTGAAAGTCCTTAAAGCAAGAGATCAGACAAATATGTCAAATATGTTTAATTTTTTTTTCAAAATAACTGATGGCAAAATAAAATATTTACATCACGTCATACTGTGTAAACATGTAACGTCACTGTACAAAGAAATATACATGCAAAATAAAGCAAAAATTTAACTAAAACAATAAAGGAAAATAATACACAAACATTATGATATGAGGTTGGTACGAATACACATCCAGTTTTGAAGTCAGTTGATTTCTTTTAAAAAGTTTCTGTACAACTTTACAAAAAACAAAAAAAGGAATAAATAGTATACAGTGGAAGCCGCAAAGCTCAAAACTAACCCAAGCTAGGTTATGGCTTAAGACCCATACATCTAACTATGGTGGCATGTCGGCTTGGTTTCTTTAAACGTGGCATCTCACACAAACATAGATGACAACACACCCATATGAACTCAGTGATGCACAGAAAACCATCTCTGCCTTTTTAAATAGTTTACGTCAATATTACTTCAACCTTAAAAACAGTTAATAAGACAATTACATTACGTGCCAGATTCTCATCATCTGACCACTACTTTTTGAATGTATTCTTCACCAAAGAGCACAAAATTCATTTGTTCATTTCACAGAAAGAAGCAAGCACAGTTCTGAAAATTCTAAAAAGTAGTAAGCATTGAGATTGATTTTGGGAAAGTCATACTTTGGCATTTTGAATATAATAATAAATTTTAAAAAGTGTCACCTTATTTCTTAACCAGTTTGAGATTTGGGATACGAATCTCTCTCTCTCTTTCTCTCTCTCTCTTTTAAACAACCCTTAAAACTGACTAGCTTTGACTAAATTCTATGCTAACCCTCATCTTAAACTAATAAAGATGGTGTGGTACAACACACCCTCCCCTGCCCACCCAGAACCCCCAGACACACAAACAAAACCATAAAGCTCGCCGTACTAAGTATGTGCTTTTTCTATATATTTATTACAGTTACAACAGAGGTCCTCATAAATAGTTGCATAAAATGTTAAAGCCACGACATTGCACATGATATGAAATAAAACAAAAATCCCAAATGAGTGCATTTACAGTATTTCATCCTGCTGTATACTGCTTGACAATCGGGTCGGCAAGCTGGGCACCAACCGGACGTCCGTTTCTAATGGGCCAGCGTTACCGACCCAAACTGAAGACCCGCACAGTGGTATACCACCATTTAGGAGGGAGGGGAAAAAGGATAAGGAGGGAAAAAAATTACAGACTGAAGGCAGGTAACAGTCTATATACAAGTAAGGCCTACATTTTATCAGAGCAAAACGATTCATTCTATTTGTATGCAAAAACTTTGAGGTTGGATGCACTTAAAAGCAGAGTCTGATCTCAGTGCACTGCTACGTGAGATACATACAGGCGAGGCAACTGGAAAGCTCTAGGACCAAGTGAAAACCAGATGTTAGAAATGGAAGCCTTATCAATGGGCAGCCATTTTGGCGAGTCTTCTCCAGGCATGATTTCATTTTTAACACCAGTGCTTTGAACATAGGCATTTCTTCCTTGAATAAATCTTGAAAACGGTAGTTAAGTTCACTTGCAAAATTCAACTCTTGTTTATTAAAAAAACTATTTTTTTTTTTTGCAGAAACCTGAATAAAATACTGTTACTGTATCACTCGCGACTGCTTTTTGCAGAGTACAGTGCTATCGTCCTCCACCCCAGTGAAGTCTGCATTGCCAGGCCCACGCGTGACCTCGCGTGGTCCCCATGGAATGCACTTGCACACGAACATTCGCTAGCAGCTGGTTGGCTCGGGGTTTGCTTTCCTCAAAATTCAAGTCAACAGCTGATTGGCAGGAGGAGTCTTATCTCCAGTCTGATTGATTGGCAGGAGGAGTCTATCTCCAGTCTGATTGGCAGGTGAAAGAGAATGAGAGAGAACTTCAAGCAAGATCAAACTCTTGGCAAGAGCCTGCTCTGTAAGAAGTTTTTAATGCTACGGATAGGTCGAACATCATTCTGGTGTTTTCGCCGCTCAATGAACGAAGTCAGTCTGGATATGTCAATGCTGTCAGCGCCTTTGCTATTCCCCAGCTGCAGCCATTGCTCCTGGAGGGTCAGTGCAGCTGAGGGACGCTTAGCTGGGTCATCCTGAAGCAGGAAACATACAAAATCTTTGGCCTTCTGGCTAACTCCTTTGAAGTAGTCATCTGGGAAACTAAAGTCTAAGCGGCAAATATTCAGGCAAGTTTCCTCTACGCTTTCATCCAGGAAAGGAGAGACGCCACTAAGAAGGACATATGTGAGCACTCCAATGCTCCAAACATCTGAAGTGAGGGAAACAGGATTTCCGAGAATAATTTCAGGAGCTGCAAACTCTGGGTTTCCAAGTAACTGGTGGATATAATATGTGGTATTGAGCTGGACTGCATCTCCAAAGTCAGCCAGTTTTATTGTTGGCTTAGAGGAACTCTGGTCCACCAAAATATTTTCAGGCTAGAAAACATAAAGGCAAAAGAAAAAAATGTATTTTTTCAAGTTGTTCTAGCACACATCTAGTGCTCCAAAAATTACAGTTTCCCAACCTGTGCTGCCTGCACAGGAACATAATAAACAGCTACAGATGATGATTACTGCTGAAGGCTCCTGAGCAAGCTCCAACTGGCAAGCACTTCCATGCCAACCAGAGTGTGCAATTAATGTGTTTTAGCTGCTGGCAGTATAATTTTTGCAAGAAGTATAGCTCTGGCACATAAGACTGCATATGCTCACAATAACAGCTTTGCAAAATTTCACAGAAACCTGTGTTTGGGAATTTAATCTTAAAGAAAAGCAATTATAAATGGAGAGTGAATAAAACAACTACTCTATTTGCTTTATGACAGAGAGAACCAAAAGCCTTGGATTTGCACTTCTGCTGCAAGTTTCTCAGGGAAAAGAACAACCACCCCAAACCCAAACACTGGCAGCAATTATTTCCAGCACAAAGGACCACATACGACCACAAAGCTTCAAGGGCAATGCAGAGGGAATTCAAACCTTCTGTTCTGATGTGAACTGAAGCACTTAGGGATGGATCTCCCACCATATACCCCTTCATAAAGTCTCAAAGGGATTCACAGTTCTGTACTCTCAGCTGCCAGTTTTCTGTAAGGAGATTTTCATGCATGGAATGGCACACACTTGGCAATTCCACTGACTCCTCACCTTTAGGTCCAAATGTGCTATTCTGCAGTTGTGAAGATACTGCACAGCTTCCAGAATCTCTCCCAGGTAGAGTCTGATCTTCCCTTCAGTGAGGTTTCCCCATCGCACAACGTAGTCTAGAAGGCGACCTTGGTCAGCCCTATTTGGAATTACAAGGGTTAAATTTTAATAATAAATAAATAATAAAACCGAATACAAGAATTGATAAAACCCCACCATACAATGTGTTGAAAGGTATATAAAAAAAAAATTAAAAAATCAAGCCAAGTGTTTCTTAACAACTACAACTGCATGAAGTAATCATCAGTATTTCCACTGTTTGGCTAGTGTTGTTTGATCAACTATTTTTCTGCCTACAAGTGGTTCTACATCATTTTCAGCTGACTTGCACCTAAAATAAGTAGAAATAATTTTGGAATGGGAGCAGAAGGTGAAAGCAAAGAAGAAAAGACAGTATGTTAGCCAGACAGAAAGATCAGATGTGTACTACCACAGACTAGGGCATTACTACAACCTTCAAAATTTAGAAGACACGGCATAAAATGGGAAGAGAAGAGCTGTTACCAAGCAACCAGATCACAGCATTCCTAATTCAGTTCTGTAACTGTTTGATATAAAATCATGCCTGGAACTCCCGACTAAGACAGTCACCTACATATCAGTTTAGCAACTATTTCCTTCCAAGTTTAACCTGGCATTTTAGTAACAGCATTAGAGAATTAGATTATTTTGCTTAGATGTTGTCAAACCTCCCAGAAATCTTCAAGTTTCTCATTCATAAGGCACAGTAAATGTCATGGAAAGTCAGGTGTATAGATTGCATTTTACACACATTTCTAATACTAGTATGTAGTTGGTGGCGGTCTCAAAGGTATCAATAAGGCCAATGAGCTGGGGATGCTGGAGATTCTGCATGACTCCAAGTTCATGGGTAACCTGGTCTCGCTTCATCAACTTCTTATTCACAAACTTAGTGGCTACTGCTCGCTTGGTTCCCTTCTGGTCACATTTCTTAACGACAGAAAATCTGCCCCTGGAATACAATGTTGAAAGGAAAGAATTAACCAAAAGTTGCCATAAAGAAAAATGTACTTGTATCTTGAGAGAGATTTTGAAATAGCAGTTTAATACCTAGTAAGATATCCCTGTAGTATAGTTTCTAGCTATAAAAAGAGTTTAAAATGCATGCATCTTCTACAAAATGTGTCTATAGAAATAAGTAGCTCTAGATACAGATCTGTTTTATTGCATTTGCTGAGACTCACACCAGAGTGCTATCAAACTTTCACAGGTCCATACATTAAGGCAGAAAAATATATATTCTTCATGAGCTGCTTCATATTTTGCTTGTGTTCAGACCTTATCTGGCTTTGAATTTCATTCTCCAAGTAAAAAGTTTTGGAGTACTTCACTGTGGAAGAGACTGTAGCCTTCCAAAACACCTGAAGAACACTCATCCTTTTAATCTATGATACCACATCAGTTTAAGTATATTCTGTTTATGCAGTGCCACCTAGTGCTGGTAATATTCTGACCTCCCCATTTCTATATAATCCAACATAATTCTTGACTTTTAGGCTCATATGGTACATATTTTACCAAAAAAATTTCATTTTTTAAATGAAGTTAATATTTTGACATCTTTGAATGTCAGCATACAGAACACACCTGCCAAGCTCAGCCACTTCACTGTAAAGGGAATCAAAGTTGTCTTTCCAGATTACCATGATTCCATCACTTCCAGGACCTACAGAGAATTTAAAGAGAGAAAGGGTAATACAGACACTTACTATAGTCAGATTTTCCTCAGAACTAAATTTTTTGTTGTTACTGAATTGAGTAACAGGTGTTTAAGTATAACCAGATTTGAAAAGAAAGCAGAGATGGGCCTACCTAAAACTCGTAGACTGGCAGAAGATGAAACCGAACCCATATCGTTTGCAGCTATACATGTATAGATACCATCGTCTTCTGCAGTGACGCCAATGATTTTCAGTGAAGCCTCTCCTAAGTCACTGGGAAATACAATGGCATCCATAAACTTTATATTCAATTTACAGACCTTGAACTATGGAAATTAGAGAAAGAGTGATCACGTTAATACTTCTTATTGTTCAGGCTCTATGCTCTCTCTTGACAAATGTTAATTCTGTCACTGCTATTTCAGAAACGTCTACCAGAATCTGAGAATTTTGTGTGTACGAAATATATTGGAATGTCCTTCAAACCCTTAAAGAATATCCTCACTGACACTCTGTCTCAGGCTGTCCCAGGCTCCTTTGTGTTTGAAAAATAAAATTCTTCCTGTTTCTTCCTGCTTCCTTTATTTCTTGCAAATTATTAGAAGCCATACTGAGGCAACTATCCATCATTACTCTCTGTTTCCACTTCTGACTTCTAGCATATAGAAGCTGGCCTACGAGTCTGACCAACGGATTTGTCTTGGGACCTTCAATATCATCAGTGACGGGCTTGAGAGCACCCTCAGCAAGTTTGCTTGAAACCAAGCTGAGTGATGCAGTTGACATATTTGAAAGAAGGGATGCCATCTAGAGAGACCTTGACAAACTCAAAAGGTGGGCCCATGTGAATCCAATGAGGTTCAACATAGCAAAATGCAAGGTTTTGCACTTGGGCTGGCGTAATCCCAGATATGCATACAGACTGGGAGAAGAATTCCTTCAGAGTAGCCCTGCAGAGAAGGACCTGGGATTCCTGTTGGATGAAAATCTGAACATGAGCCATCAGTGTGCTCCTGCAGTTCGGAAGGCCAACAGTGTCCTGGGCTCCATTAGAAGAGTGGTGGCCAGCAGGGACAGTGAGGTAATTGTTTCTCCCTACCCTGCTTTTGTGAGGCCCTATCTGGAGTACTGCATCCAAGTCTGGGGCCCCCAATACGGGAAAGATATGGAGCTGCTGGAGAGCGTACAGAGGAGAGCCACAAAGATGATCAGAGGGCTGATCATCTTTGGAGCAACTCTCCTATGAAGACAGACTGAGGGAGATGGGCTTGCTCAGCCTGGAGAAGAGAAGAGAAGGCTGCAAGGAGACCTCATTGCAGCCTTGCCAGTATTTAAGTGGGGATTATAAAAACAAGAGGGGAATCAACTTTTTACAAGGGCAGACAGTGATAGGACAGGGGGAATGGTTTTAAGCTCAAGGAGGGAAGGTTTAGGTTGGATGTCAGGGGGAAGTTCTTTACAGGGGGAGTGGTGAAGTGCTGGAACAGGCTGCCCAGAAAGGTTCTGGATGCTCTGTCCCTGAAGGAGTTCAAGACCAGGTTGGATGGGGCCCTGGGGAACCAACCAACTTGTCAA